TATTATTATCATAAGCTTCTTTACTAATTATATAATGTTCTCCAATGTTAAGACAAATTATTGGTTCTTGCACTAATAGTTGCTGTTGTCAACTACATAGGAGTTGCCACTGTTGTTGAGTTAAATGTTGCTGCTGTTTAATGAGTTGTTGACATTGTTCAAAGTGTCGTAAAAGCTCTTGCTGTTGTTGTGTAGATTCATGATGACAATTTAATTGATCTTGTTGATTTTGCATTAAATGTTGCACCATTTCCAAGAGTTCTTTCTGTTGCTTCAAGAGTTCTTTCTGAGAATTCAAGATATCTTGAAGGTGTTGTTGTAAATTTTGTTCTTGTATAGGCTGTTGCAGTTGTTGTAAAGGTGATTGCAGTTGTTGCTCTAAAACTTGTTCCAGTTGTTGTTTTAAGAGCTGCTGCTGTTGTTGCCGTAGTTGTGAGGATTTTTGATGTTGATGTTGTAAAAGTTGTTGCAATTTTTCTTTGCATTGGTCCGAGAATAAAATTAGGTGTTGTAGTTGTTGCTGGTGCACTGGTTCAAAAAATTGTTCCTGTTGTTGTTGTTGTTCTTTTAAAAGTCATTGCTGTTGTTCTAAAAGTTGTCACTGTTGCTGTGTGAATTCATCGTCTACATTGATATTTATATCAATGTGGTCTCTAGGTTTTTTTGGTGTGTCAATTTGATCAGACATTGTCTTTTTAAATACAAATGAACTGGTCTCAAGAATACAAGAAAATAAATTGTTGAAATACATTAATTATTATATATATATTAATATATATATATAATGCACACATAAATTTGTACAATTATTTCCACAAAATGTATTTTTTTAATTTTCTAAAAGTTTATTGCTTGTGATAAAAAACTTTTTTCACTATAAGACATATTAGTGGTAATTCTTGTTTGAAACAGCATCAAATGATCAAATGACATTATGGAAAGTTACACAAAAGGTACATAATCTTTGAGTATACAATAGATCGGTACTAAAAATAGGGTTTCTAGGGAATGTTCTGCTTGAAATTGATTCTCCATTACTATTACCTAAAAAAGTATTGTATGGCGAGATCGGGAAGGACCCATTATATGTAGTACAGAAAAAACCAAGTATATAGTAATGGCTCTTTTTTTTATTTTAGTTATATAGCATTAATAGGATTTTTTTATAGCTGATTTTTATCATGCAACTAAAAAAAATATCTTTTATAGTGACTAATAAATAATTAACAGCTTTTAGATGGAAAATTTATCCATACACTATTTGAAAAATTGTCGGCAAAAAATCTGCATTTTTGTTTGCATAATAATAAATCTTAAGATTTTATTTGTTGCCGCAGCCATAATCCATTGTATATTAAAAAAAATAATCCATCAATCTTTAATTTAATGCATTATTAATTCTTTTTTGTTTGCGATTTTTTCTTTTTTCTATTCTTTTTCATCCTTCGATTGATAATTGAAAAATGAAATTTTTTGTTGTTATTTATCGTTGTAGCACGCAAATAATAATAATAATATAATAAATAGTAGTAAAAACTTGTCGGAAGGTTTATTTGTTGATTTTCCGTGTAATCATAATTTTTTTTTGTATTAATTACAAAAAATTGTGAACTTTCCTTTTTGCTTTTTCTTTTGTAAACCAAAAAATTTTAAATTATTAATAAAAATAATAAATTGTAATAATATTGAATATTAAATAAATAATAATAATAATAATAATGACAAAAAAAGTCGAATCACCAGAAGAAATATACGAAAGAAAGCACAAAGTGGCATACAAACCATCACCATCATTTCAGCTTGGAGTTAGATTATTTGAATTTATTTGTAACTTGTTGGCAGTATGTCTGATGGCAGTGACAGCATCGGGTGAACAACAATTAAGAAATGAAATACAATACTGGGTTATTATCGGGTTAGTTGTTTCAACAGTGGGAACAGTTGTGTCAGGAATATTTTTATGCGAACGTCAGTTAAGATTTCCGTTAGTGGAAACAATAACTTCATCATTGCTTGCCGTTGGTCATACAACTTTTGTAACTGTTGGGGCTTTAAATACTCCTCACGAAATTAAATGTGAAGAATACCCTAGTGATTTAGAGATAGTAACTTGTGACTCACCAAAAGCTGCTGTATTTTTCTCTTTTGTGGCCATAATGTGTTATGGATTTTCAGCCCTTTCGGCATTTAGATATTGGAATGATAGAAGAAAAAATTTACCAACAACCACAGCCGTTACTCAAAATGATGAAAAATTATAGTTGAGGAAAAAGTAATCGAAAAGGTCGTTCATAATGAATATTGAGATTGAATGGAGAGTTTTATTTAATTATGAAATTGTATTTTTAAAATTTTCTTATACCAACAACAACAATAAATGTAATCAATTCTTTTTTTAATCTCATAATTTTAAATAATTAATAAATATTTTTTTTACAATTGGAATATGTGGTTTATAATCTTCTATTATTAATAATATTGAGCATTCACAATAATTTTATGATAATAAAGAGGTTAAGACGATGTGCCAGTAAATTTTAATGAACGTAAAAGATTTTGAAGTGAATCATTTAATTAATTATTGTTATTATTATTATTATTAATCGAATAAAGTAGATAGATTGGTTGTCATAGCTTTAGGTGTAACTGATGGAGAAACAGCGCTAATGAAAGGAGTAAACGAAGTAGAATTTACCGTAATACACATTTTCGAAAATGGGCAAAATCGATGATGAATTGAATGAATGGTCGGGATTGAAGAAACAATTGATTCATCATCTGTTCCTCTTGGCCAATTTGTGATTTCTTCAGTGCTCGTTCCAATAATCCACATCCAATAAAGTATGATATCAGAAAAGATATCAATCGTATCCAAATTTTGCTGCGGTGACGTTGACAAACTAAATATACATTCATTGTCAAGCTTCTGAAGTTATAATATAAATTTTTTTAGTTGATGACAACATCATTATTTATCGCCTAAAACATCAAACATAAAAAAAAAAACAATTTTGCTCCATATATAAAACAAATTTTAATGACTAAATCACATGATTTAAACAGTTAACTCACCATAAATAAATGTTATGTCATCCATCCAATTTATCCAATTTTATTTTTTGTTTGCTCTCTTTTATTCCTTACTATGTTTCAAAGTCGTCTTTTTTCTCTTAAAAAAAAATTCTCTTACCGTAAAGTCTGGAAAGATAGCATCCCCTTTTTACATATGTGTAACATTTTTTTT